TCGTCCTAGTATGTAACTCCTCAGTAGTGCGCACCCACGATCATATGTTCACTAGTGACTGGCCTCAAGAGATATTTCTTGCACTTCTAGTGAGAAGCAGTGACCGGTGGAGTTCAACCAGGTCTGTTGTAAGATATCAACTCACTGAAGACAGTGGTGTACGCTTGCTCAATTTCATGGGTGAGTTGAAGTTAGAAATTAACACCGTTGGATGCCGGACACCTCAGTGGTCTATCGGTTAAGTGCTCGCGCGTGAGACTGGTAGGTCCTGGGTTCGAATCTCACAAGGCGGGATCGCGGATGCGCACTGCTGATGAGTCCTACAATAAGACAAAACAGCCGTTCAATGCTTTCAGGTTTTCCATGGTGGTCTAGCTTAAATCGACCCATGATCTCAACTATATAAAATAGAATAAGTAAAAATGATTGATTGATTTCATATATGACTCGAAAATTAATTGAAATGATCATCTTTTCATGTAGATTAATTGATGTATCAAATAGTGATTTAAGTACTAAAATAATTTAGTATATTATATCACCTGATAATAATAACATAAAATATTAATTTTAACTGTATTCAAATCGATAGCTGAATATTTCTTTTTCAATACCCAACTTTATTACAAATGCTTTCAATTATTTAAATAGATTTAGATTCAGTATGGGGTTGTGGAGATTGTTAAATTTTTAATTGAGATCATGAATTGATTAATGTTAGATTACCAGTGAAAACCTGGAAGCACTGGACAGTCGTTTCATCCTAGTAAGGGAATCGTCAGCAGCCATTTAAGAGTGGAAGGAGGTTTAAATATTAACACTGTAAAATGGTAGTTCAGTGGTCTAGAGGTCAGTGTTCGCGCACGAGAACGAAGGTCCTGAGTTCGAGTCCCTTTGGTGAAGGGTCATGGATACACAGTACTGAAGAGTCCCATGCTAGGACAAAACGGCTGTCTAGTGTTGTTAGGTTTTCAATGGTGGTCTAAAACAAATGGATTCATGATCTCAATCAAAAAACATTTAGATTCAACTGTGGAACTTCACAAATAACTCAAATGCTAATCACAATAATCGTGATCATCGTCGTCATGATTATCGCTACCATCGTTATCAACATTAGTTACACAGATATTATCTAATAATCATTTTAGTTTCTAATTAAAGTATGATATTTATTTTTAAAATAACTTACATTTCTTAAGAATAAAAAGAAATAAACTACTCAACACTAAAGTCTTATAGATACCACTACTGTCAGACAACCGGCATTCCAACTGTTTCTCTCTTTTTTTTTGCATTACACAAATAGAGAAAAACATACGTAGTTTTAACAAAACAAAAATCAATTAGTAACTCAATTATTTCAATGAATAAAAGTATGTTTTCATTGGAAAACATGTTTTTTTGTTGTTTTAATGCATATATCAATAGTTACCATATACAATATCAAGTTAATTACTAATGTTAATAATGATTACCGGTAAATAAATTAAATCAAATAATATTTCATATATATATATAAATAGAATAATTTTAAATTCTTTAAATAGATATAGAAAACAATAACCACAACAACAAAAACATAATTAGTAACACTTGTTTGTTTGTTTGTTGTTGTGTTTTTAGGTGAATGAAAGAAAAATAGAATTCATAAATTACATGTACAGTTTAAAATCTGATACTATAAATGTAAGTAAATATTTTAGATAATGTTTAAATATCTGTTTTTTTATACATTGAAAAACGTTTTTCTTTTGTTATATTTGATAATGTTCAGTAAAGACTATTATAGAGGTTCGCTGCCAAATGTCCTGGTACGGCCGAGAGTGGAGACAGTACGCTCTCCCTCTCCAAATGCTCTCACATGGCCACACGTATATAGCCTCTGCCAAGGAAGTCCTACTCACTACCTTCTCACAGTGGCATTATTGTTGTTTACGAAATTGAGAGGACGAAAAGCGAATGTCCGGCGCCTTAAGCAGGTTGGTGGACACGGAAAGTTCACCTAGGGGAGTTGGAAAACCCTGATTTCAAACCAATGGTGCACATAAGCTCCAGGATCCTGATGGGACAAATGGCGTATGAACCAATCCTTGGTCACCGGCTACCATGGGATTGCATCTCCTCACGATGCTCCACTGTCTTGTGAATCAGACCTTTAGGTCAAAGGCTCTGGATGTGGCCCCCTAAGGAAATCATCTGTTTCAGTTTGGGCACCTGAGCAGTATCACAGGCCTCACACAAATCAAATGAGATTTGTGAGGCGCATATATATCTGGTGCTTCCTTGTTCCAATATTTATGTGTTTAAATAATAATAAATAGTAAATTATAGAGGTTCATTTAGTATTGTTTCTTTGAATCTTCCTATTGATGTTTAGGACTGCAATTGGTCAGTGAAGATCAACTCTGCGATGCAGGTACATCCAGCTGACGAGTCCTGAATAGGATCAAACGCGCGTCCTGGATTCCACTGCAAGCCACTATCCATCTTTGCTTATAATGCTTGTAAATTTAGGCTATATCGAGGAAGTATGCACAGTATGCACATATGGTCAATAAGAGACTGATCAATCACAGTCCTAAACATCAATAGGAAGATTCAAACAAACAATACCAAATGGATTTAAACTTCACCTCGTTGCACAAGCAAGTGGCTATCTGGACTCAGTAGCTGAGTGAATAACGCAATGGCGTTTGAAGCGAAAGGTACTGGGTTCGAGTGGTGGGGTGAACATCAACTCTGAGATGCAGGTACATCCAGCTGACGAGTCCCAAATAGGACAGTCTAATCCATGTCGTGTGTTAGACAGTCATCCACCCCAGACAAAAGATGAAGGGTTGCACAAATTCATGAGTCGGTTGAAGTTAACATTAATACAGTTGGATGCCGGGTTAATTGTTCGCCCATAGGACCGAAGGTCCCGAGTTCGAGTCCCATACTAGGAGAAAACGGTTGTCCAGTGCTTTGAAGTTTTTAATATTAATCTAGCTTAAATCGACTATTGAATTAATATGTCAAAATCAAAACTTGTCATGATTGTGATAAGCGTTTATAAAGTTAGCACATTTTTCTATACCTTATGTATGATAATTGATTATTAAAGAATATCAGCAATAAACTAGGACTTTCGATAATTAATTTAGTCATTTTTATTTTATAATCTTAATGTATTACTTTTTTTAGTATTGGGTTGCTCACTTTACTAGGTGTAGTCAATAGTTATCAATTATTGATCATTGATTATCTACATAACTTTTATTTATTTAGTATTAAGTGATGAACTTTAAGCCTCATCTTAAACCATCTTCCTGTGATAGATATTCTAAGGCATATTCTTTCGCCATCTGATAAAGAAGTGTTTCTTTTTATTGAGTAGCCATTACTTAAAAAAACTAATTTATCTTTACGTTCCACTGTATGTCAAAATATTCTAAGCAATAGTTTTAATCAGTTTATATCTGTATAGATCAACTTCATATACATTTCTTAAGCTTACATTATCCGTGTTTTACGTAAGAACTTAAATTTCCCTTTAAACTAGAGAGTATTTTTCTAAATTTATGTAAACTGTACTCAGTTTAAGAAACTTCTTTACATATAAGATGTAAGTCAATGTATTTTGAATGTGCAGTGGGTTTAACCGATTCTTAAATACATTTTCAAAATCAATAATTCTGAAAACTACCTCTCATTCAAATAAAAAAAACCCACTTAAATAAAATTTCATTTAGAAATCATTCAATTGAGTCTAAGCTGAAAACATATGAATAGGATAGTCAAACAACTTAACAAAACTATTGTGAAATTAGTAGATCTATGAGAAATGATAGGTTACAAATTCACAAACATAACTACATATATTTTTATTAGTTGTTTGAATCTTACCATAGGTGTTAAGGACTGCAATTGATCTATCTTTTATTGGCATATAAGCATTCTGTGAGGATCGCCTCTATATTGCCTTAAGTCATAAGCATTGTAAGTAGAGATGGATAGTGGCTAGCAGTAGAATTCAGGAAGCGCGTTTCATCCTATTTGGGACTCTTTATCTAGATATACTTGCATCTGAGAGTTGATGTCTACTCTAGTACACGAACCCAGTATTGTTTGCTTGGAACGCCACTTAGGTACTAAGTCCTGATAGCCACCAGCTTGTGCAACAGGGTGATGTTTAATTAAGTTTTGTATTGGTTGTTTGAATCTTCCCACATTTATGTAAACGGGTTTATAAAATATCCTTTAGCTTTGATAATGGTGTTACCTATAAGTAGATAGTTGCAAGCAGAAAAATTTCGGAGTTTATGATAAAGTAGAGCTTATTAACTACTTTGAAGATAAGTCGATCCATAGGTTTTGAGATTAGTTCGGTTTATTACACTACAAAACCCTATGAATATAACTTGCTAAACTCATATCAAATTTTTTCCGAAAATAGCGTCTACAATAAACATTTTAAAAAATGTTAGAATTCATTTATAGACATATTCCTACAGAAAGTCTGTCATTGTTTTAACTTATGACATTTTAATATTATTTCGTGTCTAATTAATATACCCACAAGCTAGCTTGTGTTATGTATGAAAGTAAATTTTCGTACCCAACTACTTGTATAGGAATAATGAAAATTTCAATAGTTTAGAGAATTCAATCTTTCTATCTCTAGGCCTATAAATGTCTTATCCCTTTGGAAAAAAGAAATTGTCATAATAATAACCAATCAGATTTAGTCTGATAAAATTCCCATTCTCTCCCTTTATTCATTCATTACCAATAGACACATTTAATAGCCCGTTAACTAATCGAATTCTATTGCTGCTTGTTTTAGACAATTTTTCTATTTAAAAAAAAACAGTATTTCATTATATAGTCATCCTTTCTAGGGTGAGAAAAGTTTCAATCGCATCATGTTTAGGTTAAACAAAATAATAAGGCAATATGAAAAATGTACAAGTATAAATTAGTCTATATTAGACTATTTTATAACATATTTAAGACTATAAAATTGGTTATTTATTTGACCGCAATTTCTATGTAAACAAATTCACTTTGAAATAAAACAAAAGTGGTTACTGTTGTTTGTTTGTTCGTTTGTTTTAAGAAGTAAAATTAATATTATGAATTTGACAGCTGATTATCCAATATCTAACTTTGATAATCAAAACTATAGAAACTCTTATGGAAGTAATAACTCACATTGGTATTATCCATTTTATGAATATTCATTGAATAATTCATCTTCATCATCATCACCATCATCATCATTTTTATTATCATCTAACAATCCATCATCATTAGTATCTTCAACTAGTGTATGTTTACCATTTCATTTTTACATTGATTCATATTATACACAAACTAATACAAATGACTATGATATGAATGGATTACATTATAATTTATATAGTGGTAGTGATTCATCAACACGTTCCCTTGATGATACATCATTATTATTGCATTCATATCATAGTAATAATAATACTAATAATGAATCTATTCGTACGGAATATGAAACTGATTATAACACATTATTGCCAACTACTATTACTAATAATCACTTAATACCAACATCTTTATCGTTATCATCCACACCAACATCATTGTCATCGTCGTCATCATCATCTTCTTCTGAAGCTGGTGATACTGTAAGCACTACACCGAGTACATCACCGATTATAACTAATACTAAAATCAATGATTCTACACCAACATCATCTTCACCATCGATGTTCACCTGTTGGTCTGAAAATTTGTTTAATGAATTTCCTTTAAGTAATAATGCTAATATTATTAATACAAATAATAATAATATTTATAATATTGAATATAATAAATTAAATATGGTAAATCTACATAACAATAATAATAATAATAATAATAAATTTTTATCAAATTTCTCTTCACAGTTTAAAACAGACCATAAACAAGAAAGTAAACTATTAAATCCTATCAATAATTCATTAGAAAAATTAAATAATCGCCTATTTGAATATCAACAATATAATAATAGTAATAACAGTATATATTATCAATCATCATCATCATCGCCATCATCATCATCATCATCATGTTCTGATGTATTAAAATATCCTTTATCCACTTCAATAATTCCAGATCCATTCACTGTAATATCTTCATCTTCAAATATATCAAATAAATTATATGAACAACAAAATAATCTAGTTTGTTTTAATGATATACCAAAGATAACAGATACATCTATAATAAGACAAAATAAATATGATATTATAGATAAAAAATATTATTTATCTTCTACAATAGAATTAAACAATCTTACCACTACTACTACTACTACTACTACTAGTAGTAGTAGTAGTAATAATAATAATAATAATAATAATAATAATTGTAATATAATACAAGAAAACAATTATGTAACCAGTGAAAATCAATTAAAAAATCAATCAATCAATTATCAATTTGGTGAAACAAATATTATAAAAAAAGAATTATCATCATGTAAAACATATTTACCTTTATTGATTAAATCAACAAAAAATTATTTAAATTCACAAATAGATGATGCCAAAATAGATGATATGCCAAAAATAGATAATAAAATAAAAATGGAAAAATTATATTTTGATTCTATGAAAGATAGTCCATTTTGGACAGATATTCATAAGGAATTAAAACAACAACGACAACAACAACAACAACAGCAGAATAATCATTATTTATTATCAACTTCATTATCTTGTGATTTAATATCAAGAGAAACGATGGATCATTTAAGTTATTACAATTCTCGTAACCACAATTGTAATTCATATATTGAGAAAGAAATTAATAGTCATCTATTAAATAATCCACAAGATATTTGCAATAGTACAGGGATGAATAAATTAGAAAATAACATATTATCAGTGTCTGGAGTAATACACCCAAGAACAACAACTATATCAACAACTGTAACAACAGTAATAACTACAACTACGACAATAACAACGACAAATGTGAAATCTATACAACCTTATAAATGGTTACAAATAAAACGACAACAGCCACGCCAAAACATAATAAATAACAGTAAGTATGTTATTATTATTATTAACAATTTAAAAAGTGTACATTCAATTTGATAACTAATTTTCTTTAAAAGCTTGATTTGATAATCCAAACAACATAATCTTATCACTCATTAATAGTAATATAGAAATTGTTTCATTTAGAATTAAAATTTGAATTACTCAAATTTCCGCCAAAAGTATTATCATAGAAATTTACATGTGAATAAATACAATCATAAATCATAACAAAACTTGGATAAATATATGCTAGTAAATGTATGTTTCAAACGAAATCATTTAACAGTCATTTTCTATTGTTACAGTTATTAAGTAAATTTAGACTGTAAGTAAAAACAAAATTCATAAGGTACGTTATGCCGTATTTGGAACTTATCATATTAAAAGACTAATATTTGATTAAAGAGTATTCTTTTCGATAAATTCTCTTCAGATTCTACAATTATATATCCAACTGTATATTATGTTTATGTATTTATGTTCTGTTGTCAACAGCATAAATATTTATGAATAAATATCAAACCAATCGAACAAGTAATTGGTTATTTTGATTCAGTAGCCTAAGGGATAACAAGTTTAGATTTGAAAGGATAGGTACTGTACTTCAATCTCAGTGTAAACGTTAAAACTACAATCCAGATATATCTAACTAATGCATGTCGAATCGAACGAAACCAGTTTTCTTGATTCTAATCCTAGTCACAATACAAATTACTATTTTATAAAAGAATAATCTGTTTTATGAAATTAAGAATATTTGAAAACAAATAAATATAGAATTATCAGAAGGGGTTTTGTGGAGATTTTAGTAATTTTGCTTAGTTGATATCTTCAGTCAATTAAAGTTAGACCACCATGGAAAACTTTGGAGCACTGAAAGGCCGTTTCGTGGGACTCCTCATCAGTGAGCATCCACGACCCCACCTCTCGAGATTCAAATCCATCACCTATCATTCTCGCACGCGAACACTCAACCTCTAGACCACTGAACTGTCCGGCATCCAATGATGTTAATGTCTAACTTCAACTAATCTACGAAATCGAGTTTCAACAGGTGTTTCCTGCACTTCTAGTGAGAAGTAGTGTCCAGTGGAGTTCAACCAGGTCTGTTGTGAGATATCAACTCACTGAAGACAATGGTAGACGGTTGCTCAACTTCGTGGATTGGTAAAAGTTAGATATTAACACAATTGGATGCCGGACAGCTCAGTAACCTAGAGGTTAATCGTTCGTGCGCCGGACCGATGGATGCTGTGTTCAAATCTCACGAGGTGAGTTCGTGGATGCGCGCTGCTGAGAAGTCCCAGGTTTTCCATGGTGGTCTAGCTTCAGTTGACTCATAAATTTAACTATATAATGCAGAATTAATAGATTCTTTGTCTTCAAGACTTATGCAACTGAGAGAAATCTGTAATATAATTTAAAATCTTGGAAACAAACGAAAGTTACTTGAATCATCGTATTAAAATATTATATGAATAAAACACACAGCAAGTTTTCAAATCTTAAAAATGATCAATCTTGGAAATAATTGAATTCACCGCTTTTAACAAGGCTTATTTGTTCTACAACCGTTAAAATTATTATAATCAAAGATGGATGGTGGCTAGCAGTAGAATTCAGGATGTGCGTTTCGTCCTTTTTGGAACACATCAGCTCGATAAACTTGCATCTCAGAGTTGATGACTACTCTAGGACTCGAACCCAGTATTGTTCGCTTCAAACGCCATCACGTTATCCACTTAGCTACTGAGTCCTGATAGCCACTAGCTTGTGTAATGAGGTGAATTTTAAATTCACTTGGTGTTGTTTGCTTTTATCTTTCCATTGTTGTTTAAAACTGTAATTGACCAGTCTCTTCTTGGCAGATATGCATCTTAAGAAGATGAGCACTACAGTGGAGCCCCATACCATGGTGAGACTATCATCCAGTGCTTCCAGGTGTTCAATGGTTGCCTAACGTAAACGGGTTCATTATTTCACAAAAGATTTTATTGGAACAAGAGTAATGGTGTTTCTAATGTCTTTACAGTGTTTTGAAGGTAGTGGTCTTTTAAAAAAAAATAGATTATTAATCCCTCTGATAAATTTAGCTAATGTGTAATGACAGGACTATGGTTAATAAAACTATATTATACATCTTATTCTGATACGTTTATTTGAATCCAATCAAGGATTAATTTGTTAAGATATCCATATCAGAAATAAGTGGATCAAACCAAGCTAATTTGAATATATAAACAATAACAAACAATGTAGATTTCACTACTCCGATTACTAAGATTAAAATCAATATTGTCAAAAGAGATTTAATATAACTGCAAAACTGTGTTTATACTTTTCCTTATCTAAAGTTATAACATCATAGTCCCAACAAAATCCATCTTCTTATTTCAATGTGCGATTTTATCGGTTATAAATGATAGTATTGTTCACCTAAAACTATGTTCAAATAAAAAGGTTTCGCCGTAATGTATATATATATAGCTTTTTTCACAACGGATCATTTTGAAATATTCAAAGTATGATAGGAATTCATTACCGGTTACAGTGCATACAGCATTATCTAATTTTTAAAAAAAGACATCTAATAATACAACACTTTAGCATTAATTTGTTATATAATATACATTTAATAATAAATATATTTTTATATAGTTGAGATCATAGGTCAATTGAAGATAGACCACCATAGAAAACCTGAAAGCACTGGACGGCCGTTTTGTCCTAGTGTATGACTCCTCAGCTGTGCTCATGATCTCAACTATATAAAATTACTAAAATCTCCAAAAAAAACCCTTCAAATATATTTTTGTTATATCTCACTGAGTAGAAAAGGTGTATTTCTGACGTTTCGTGACTTAATGTAAGCCACGTCTTCAGTTAAATATAAACTCACGTCAGAAACACAACTTTACTACTCATTGATGTATTATAAAAATCTATTTATTATTAACACTCTATCAAATATTCAATTAATTTGAAACTAAAAATTTCATGCAGTTAGTTCCCTTTATGAATTTAAATAAAGACAGAACAAATATTGATGCATCAATATTTGTTCTGTCTTTATTGAAACTATAAAGTTTAACCTTGGTATTGATACCTACGACATACATTTGTTTTGATTCAGTGAAAACCATTATTCATATTCTTAACAATGGATAAGCAAACAAGTTAAATTTTTGAAGGGAACAAAAATAAAGATTTGAACAGAAAAGCATGAATTCATTATATTTCGTCTGACTCTCGTCAGTTGCTTACAACCTGTGATATTTAAAATTCATAATTACAAAATAAGCTTAAATTGCTTACATGAAAGAGTTTAGTTGGAAGTTTTTTAGAGACACATCAGTTAAGTGTAGGCAACAGGGTAAGTAAGTTTAATAGACTAAATAAAATATTGTAAATATATATATACTATATGTAAAAGAAAATTCTACAATATTGATTGTAACTAAAGTCCAAAGGACTAGAAACAAGTGGTTACGTAATAAGCGAACGCTGATCATAAAAATGAGTAAAGCTCAGTTAATAAGATTACTAGTCTAGATGACAGTCGAAATTAAAAGACGTAATGAAGTAATTAATTGAAAGAAGGAATTGAAAACATTTTTTTAAATACAATGAAAGGATGTTTGCCGTCAAGACAAAGAAAGATTAACAATTATCCCCTTTTGAACAAATATATCAGGTTATTGACGCCTGATAGCTTTGAATTCAGCAAACTTCAGAAGACTGGAACTTGGCTGCTTATTAAACATCTTGAAAGATTGCAAGGTATCGACCAGATGTCCTGTATCCAAGAGATGTTTAGTGATTGCATTGTACAAAGTCGTTCTTTCTTTTGTTCTAAGGCTTTTTGGAACATATTCAAAAAGTCGAAATTTTTGACTGCTCTTTTTTTAAACTAAACTCTAGTAATTCATTCTTATTGACTAATTTTAATTACGAATAATTAAGAAATAAATTATCAGCCTGAGTGTTTTACAGTCCACTCAACATTACCCTATATTGATTTGGGGCAGAAAACCATAATTTTGTGAATGACTTGATCATTGGTTTTATGGATTCCACGTGTATAATACTCCTACTTTATGTCATTTTGTCCATACAAATGTCAAGGATACATATCTTTGTTTCGCACATAAGAGTCAATAAAGTCATAAATCAGTTTCATACTATTCTGACAACTAGATTTAAGACCCATTCAGTATACTGAACTAAATTGTGATTTGCTTCATTTTAAAACTACCTTGTACCAACCACTTAACGCATTAATTCTTTTTACACGCTATTAATTTCAAACAGTTTTCTTACCCTATGTTATAGGAAATAAAATTCAGATAAAATTCATGTCTCAATTTCATTATCATGTTGTGAACAATTAAGAAGGAACTTCATAGATCTAAAATGTATTTAATCAATAATACTAGCTTCATTCACTTCATCTCTTAGGTAAAGTGCTGAATGACCACTATTAAATAGAATAATCCCTCCACTGTATCTGAGTTCGACATCATTATCAAACTGGGTGTTTTTTACTACTGCATACTTCATTCCCTTTAGTAACTATTGTTTTTACGCTTTAATCAGTGCCAAAATTAGTCAAGATGTGCTTAGACACAGCAGGAGAGATTTTTTTTCCCTCATATTACTTAATCTAATCTTCGACAACAGCTAAGAACGTTTAATTATGTTGATACATATAACTTAAATAATCTTAACTGATTTCATCCTATTTGGCACAACATATGTTTATTATTTTAGAAATAAATACTTACTCTGATGGGAAAGATCACTAGGGTAACACGTGGTCAATGGGGAACACAGTTCATATGTTGATCACATGTTGTTTAGTAACTATGTGATGAAATGTGAAGTTAAATTGTGTCGCTTAAATGTAATCGTTATTAAGTCAATATATGATACATCATTTGTGACAGTTTGAAAAACTTAAATGTGAAATAATCAGCTTTAAACTTTCAATCTGACCAAAAA